CCCCAAGACCTATCATTTGGCGCCGAGTTTGTCCAAATCGGTTGAGCGGTTGCTGAGAAACATACGTTACATACACACACACATACACACATACACACATACACACACACAAAGACATGTTCTGATCTCGTCGAGCTGAGTCGAATGGTATATGACACTCGGCCCTCCGGGCCTCGGATCGATAGTCGGTTTTTCAAGTGATATCTATACCCTTCTTTGTAAGAAGGGTAAAAATATAAAAAAGTACAAAACGTTTACCAAAATTTGGATATACGGTTTTTATATTTTTTAAGTATCTAACTTCAAACTTAAACAAAAGATAGAATTTTTTCGAAAGAAAAATAAAAAATGTGAAAAATGTTCAAAAATACTGAAGATGCTATTTTTTGATATTTAAGTTTCATACACTTTTTAGGAATTTTCCCCAAAAATACCTAATTATTACCCAAATTTTGCACCGTGCATATTTTCCTTGAAAACAAATTATTTTTTCCAACAACTTTTTGAGATTGATTTTTCGTTTTCCAGTTATGATTTGTTGAAAAATACAGAATACGCCATTTTTAAGTTATTTGCGAGATTCAAAATGGCTGAATTATCAAAATGGCAAAGCTTCATGCAAATCGGAAACGATCGAGTCTAAAATTCATTTTTTTACTATTTGGCCTGCAAATAATCTATAGCAGTGGTGCTCATGTCATTTTTTCAATAGCTGTATTTTTGTTCGATGGGTATATTTTAAAGTGAATTTTGGGTATTTGTCAAATGTATTAATCAAACTAGGCTTTGATTCGAACACTAGGATATACACGTGAAAAAACATGATTTCAAACGCCTGTAAAATCGAGCCTAGCGTTGCCCCACTCTTCCCTATTCACGGACATAAAGTTTAAGGCCATAGACCAAATTTCAGCTGCCACTGTCTACCGCTTCGAAAGTTGTTCACATTTCGGTGATGAAAAGGAGGGGGGGGGGGGGGGTTGATATTCTCTAAATTTCAAGTGACGTACTAAATGCATGCTTCCTAAGGATTAAGTCATAAGGCATTTTTGCGAAAGAGCCAGAGAATTTTAAGATTTGTATTACGTGATAAGCGTTTGTAGACTAAAACTCTTCGATAATTTTTTACCGATTTATTCAGTCATTTGTTAACAAACTGATCCGTAAAACTAAAATCGTTGATCCATTTAATTTTATTAGTTTTTTTTTTTCGATCTCTTAGATCGATCTTTTTTTGTACAATAATATTTGCAAGGTATATTTATTTAAAATTATGCTCCAATATTAACCAGCAGAATAACGAAAGTGCGTGCATTGTCTTTGAACTCGCAAGAGAAAAGCTTCATTTCTCCAGCAAGAAATCGCAGAATCGTAGTGTTTGAAAAACAATAATGCTTACAATATACATCAAAATTTTCCTATGAAATATTTGGTGATGTTAACGGTGCCACTCAAAGTTGTTTTTTTCCGATCATTTTCCACTTCTCACTTTTACAGTTGAAATTAAACTATATAAACAAGGCTTGCATTTGACAGCTTGAAATAATTTACAAAAGTTCGATAAACAAGTTTGTAATTTGCAGTTTGGTCAGTATTTTTTACCGAATTCGGCATTTGCTTCATTTTACAGTTTGTTCTGTAATTTGATTTATAGAGTTTGGGCAACCGGTGAACACTCGTGTTTATTTCAGTTACCATGAAGACGTAATTTGTGATAAGCCCGGTCCAAATTGTATCATTATTTATGAACGGCCTTATATTTGAAATGACGTTTCACATTCATCTAGTGATGTCCGATTTTCATTCGAATAATCGTTTAATCGATTAACGAACCGAAAAGTAAACCATTTGTAATCGGTTAGATCATGCCGATATAAGCAATAACATTTCCACAGGATCATCACCGATCGTTTCAAACATGTGCTGCACTCTCATTGGTGGAAAAATGGCAGCACAGCGAACAAAAAATAATCGATTAGTTGTTAATCGAGTAATTAAAAAATGGGACATCTCTGATTTTGGTGTGATTGTTTTGATAAAAATGAACGCAAAATTTCATCTCTTCCGAGGGGACAGCAAAACTACAAAATTACCTTGAATACGGGGGGTATCCATTGGACGAAAGGGACCGTGAAAGAGGACACTAAAATAGAAAGTTTTTCTTCCGACAGTTTCATCTTTGGAATAACTGTATCGAGCTTAAATGGAACTATATAAAATAAAAAAAACATTGATTTTTAATTTAATTCCCAAGGAGGTTACTTTTCACCCCACCTAGCAGTATCAGTAAGTTGATCAGGAACTTGGTCATAATTGTTTTGAGAAATTAGGAGCTCGGTAGCCTTGTTATGACCGATTTTGCTTAATGAGCAGAAAATCATGGGTTCAATCCCAAGCTCCTTCACATTATAGAGTTATATTTTAAATCGGCTTTCTTTAATAATATGATACAAACCGTAATGAAATCCAGTCGAAAGGACAAGTACGTAGAAAAAGTAATTTTTGAGTTTTAGAAAAGACGAGGAAATCCATATCAAATCCTTCTGAAGATCAGTGTTGTTTTGTGATATAAGGAGCTCGGTGGCCTAATGTTGAACGATTTTATTTACTGAGTACAAGACCGTGGGTTCAAACCCAAGCTCCTTCGGGATAGTGAATTGTGAATCGAAACATCAACAGCTAGTTATTCCCCGCAGAGGTTTTCTCGGCTCCCGGTGTATTACGTTACCCATTCCTTTCTTGACCAGTATCCGGACGTGGCCGGCACTGGTATTGCCTAGATTCAGATCACCAGTATTTACACAATGAGGATGATTGCTAGTTCAAAGTAACGTCTATTGGTTCTCTGTGTAATTACAGCTGATCTGGCAATAGCGGAGTTACATCCTCGGGCGGTCAATGATACTCATACTCGTGCTCTAAATCACATAGTGGGGTTATGTTTTGTCTTCTCAGTCTTTATTATGAATCAAAGCAATTATATGATTTCTTATGATATGATATGATATGATATCCGTAATGAATATTTCTTAAGGATTCGAATAAGTTGTTGGATTTGTGCCAGGTTTTGTTTTCGAACTAATAACCGGCGTTTGATCGTTTAGTATTCCTATTTTGAATGACCGGAAAACTTTTTAGGTCCGGAATTCTGTTCACTTTTTCAACTGGCACAACTTTCTTTGTGAGAGAATTGATTTCTGGGAAATTTTAATTTTGAACAATTCTAGGGATGAGGAAACGACCCAACTCAACCAATTTCGATATGAATTAAACTTTTCACACAAGGGAAATGGCTCTAATGTTGGCCTATGGATCTAAGATTGGGCCAATCGCTAAAAATTTGCTATTCATCAATTTTATCTTGGCCCAATCTTAGACCCATAGACCAACAGTAGAGCCATTTCCCCTATGTGCATTACTACATGTTTCAAAAAATCATGAACTTAAACTTCTAAACAAAAAATATCAAGATTCTCTATACAAATCAACGTCCGATCCTATGATATTGAATTAGGGTAAACGCTCCTATAGTTGCGGTGCGTTAGAAGTGTTAGGTTCCTATAGTTGTGTATTGAGTCTCCATTCACAACTATAGGAACCTAACGCTTCTAACGTACCGCAACTTTAGGAGCGTTTCCCCTACTTTATGTCAGTTAATTTTCAACCCCCTAGTATTGGAAATTGTTTCGAAAAAGTAACTTTTTTTCCAGAAAATCGCGAAGCGTGCAACCTTTTGACATATTTTAGTTAGTTGTAATATAGGAAACTATTGTTTCTGAGAACTTAATCTACCATTCTCCATTTACCATGGGTGAGCAAGTGAAGTTTAAGGGATATCCTAATGGACATACTACTAAATTACCTTAATACGGACACATAAGCAGAAATGTGCGTTCTTTGATAAAAAAATGAAAAACTCAAATTAATTTTTTATTCTACGTAACGTCATAGCTATTGAATAACCAGCCGTGTAACTCGCAAAATGTTCCGCGATGGAATTCACCACCGCCACCAGACAGTGCGCGGGTGAGGTTAACGAGCAAATAAATAAATGGAGAAAATCACCTGGGAAACCTACCGCTACATTACGACAATTGGGCTCCGTTTACCATTCTTCCCCTCCGGGCGGCGAACACATGTATGGTATTCCATCGAGCCCGCTGAAATGGGGTCAAATTTTTAGTGCCTGTTTTGGGAATTGGGAAAAGTCAAGCGAAAAACTTTTTATTTTCAATTTCGTGCTGTGCTGATAGTTGAGGTGCAAGCCTTTTGGCTCGTGCGAAATAAAATCGGACAGTTCATTCATAAACTGTACGTGCGAAATCGAAGTTTTGCAATTTAAAATTATCGATCAGGGGCTTGTTTCGGAGTAAACTTTTTTAATATCGTAGATTTTTATCAGGTGTCATTGGGACGGGCAAAACTTGCCGCTCACTGCTTCCTTTCAAACAGGCAGCTGCGAATGAGAAGAGTTTCAACAGATTTTGCTGCTTCCACGCGGGTAGATTCCGGAGATATAATCTCTCACTTTGCACAAAAGTTTTTCGCACGGAATGGAAGATAGCGAGTGGATTTATTTCGGATTTGAATTTATGCATTGTCTTTTAGCAACAATTTCAAGTGACTAGCATTGACAGTGATTTATTCTATTTTTTTTAATACTAAAGTTTCAAACAATAGCGGATTTTTACCATGATCTGTGAAGGGATGAGCACATCGTCGATATTACCTGCAAATAACTAATGTTAGGGAAGGAAGATAGCAGTGCCATATCAAATAAAAGAATCAGGATTGTTTAAAGAAACCTTTCATGATTCAAATGTATGTATGTATGTGTTAACAGTTTTATTGATGTTTTATCACGTGATTTGTATGAGCGACAGTCAATTGAAGCTCTTGTATAACGTTCTTAAATTTAAAAAAGTGTATCATAACCATTCGCGCAAATGTATAACCAATTACCATGCCCATATCATAATTTTTAATTTTTTCTATTTTAGCCTTGGAGCTCCACCACTCATGCGACGCATAACATGGAACAGATTTCCGGTCCACCGGCCCGAACCGGAACCTGCTACCAGACACCACGCTCACACCCGTGGCGTCCCACAATGGGATACGAAGCGGTGCAAGTGACTCCATTGCACGAACAACCAATAACCAATGCACTTGTAGCTTCTTCCTACTCACCATCAGCAATGTGTTCCGATCCGGTTACCTTCCCAAATCTTGTCACTGGGTTCGAACGGAATCCACAACATGCAGCACGAGCCGCACTCTATACTCGCTACACACCGAACGAGTGGACCACTTCAAACGTGACAACTTATGCCGAGGCGGATAAAAACCGAAATTATGCCGAAAAAGTCCGCTCGGAGGCCGTCCGCCTCATGCGAGAAACTGACGAAAAAACGTCTCAAGGCCAGCGTGATGCAGCGAGACGTTTGGGAGAACGTATTACGGATATTACCTTTTGGCGAAACGAGCTGACAACTGAACTAGAAAAACTAATTGCCGAGTCTGCTCAGCTGACGGACACGAAACGCAATGTTCAAAAGGCACTGCAAGATCTAGAACCGCCTTTGCATATAGCACAGGAATGCCTGTACCATCGGGAGGGACGTAAGAGCATAGAGCTGGTGCACGACCACGTGGAAAAAAGTTTGCTTGTTGAAGTGGATAATTTGCGATCCTGTCAGGAGAAACTGTCTCAATTACTGGCTCGCATCACCAAGCAATTGGCCGATTGTCGAGCGGCTCAGCATTCGCTGGAGGATGACATCAGTCACAAGGAATCTGCACTGGGGATTGACTCTCTGTGCCATCAGGTAAGTGGGATGGTACAATATGCGAATGTCACTGCAAAATTTATCACTTTCCAAAATACGATGTTTGAAGCAATATTTCCCAGGATTGAATTTGGTATTCTAGAATCATTAACAACGATATACTAAAGGGCGAACACAAAGTTATTCCAACACATTTGATTTGTTCTTAAGTTTCCCGTATTTATCAGATGAAAACCAAATTTGTAGGGTGATTCTATACATGTATTTAGCTCAGTATATAAATATATAGAGATTGCTAAAGTATGATTGTGTCAGTGATTTGTTTTCATTGGGACAATTTTCCGCTATGAAGTGTTTTTTCCCGATGAAAACATTTTGCGTACACGTATACGTGACGTAGTGTGCGTACGATAAACGTCAGCAATCTCTATTGGATCAATTTTTGGGGGTTGTTTTATAAAATGCTCAACACTTTTGCTTCACGCCATCCATAAGAGCTTGTACAGTTGTATCCGGTACCTTTTTCTCATTTTTTTTTTATCCATTTCCTCCGTATGTCATTTGTATTCTTTACTTCCTCGTTGGTCTTTCTGAGTTCCCGCTTCATCATGGTCCAATAGGTTTCGATTGGGTGTAGTTCTGGACAGTTCGGTGGATTCCTGTCCTTGGGGACAAAATGCACCGAATACCATTCCAGCATGCTTTTAGAAAAGTGACATGAAGCTAAGTCCGGCCAAAATATTGGTTTTTCCCTGTTCTGTCTCAAAAATGGCAGCAGACGTTTTTGGAGTCATTCATTTTTGTAAATTTCACCATTGATGGTGCCCTTTGTGACGAATATTTTACTTCCTTTTACACAGGTGCACATAATCTGTGAAATATGGTATTTTGATGCAAATTTCGACATTTTATTTTGCTTGAAACGATCATCAACTTGGAACTTATCTTTTCAGGTGTAAAGCTCCTGTCCTTGTATATTTTGGAAGTCATATTTGACGTATGTTTCATCACCCATAACACAGCAACTGTATCAACATTTCCGTGTAGGGCTTCCTTGCGCGGATTTTGGCAGCAGTTTGCTTGCGTTCATCGTGGTTTGGGAAGTTTTGAACCTTGAATGTATGTTATCCAGGATCTTGCCTTGACCTTCTGCACGTAACTTTGCGAAACACCGACCTTTTTGGCAACATCACGTGTTGAAATGTTGGGATTTCGGGTAAAATTACCATCACCTTTCCCGCCGTCTTCCTACATGCTGCTCCCGGCTTCCTTCCTGCTCCATGCTTGTGATCCAATGTCAACCGGTCCTTGAAACCTGTCTTGATGCGGTTGAATTATTGATATGCAGTATTTTTCCTAAAGCACCATGGGACAGCTCCGGATTTTCCATGTGAGCGCACACATTTTTTTCACGCGTTTTCCCTTGACTCACTTCCATCTTAGCCGCATCGAAACAGACAATAACGCAATCTAAAGGATGTAAACAATACACTTCAAAGAGAAACTATGCAAAATTTGGTTTATCTCCGCCTAGTAGGTTAAAGATACAGCCAGTTGTAAGTGATGCAATAATTTCGTGTTCGCCCTTTACGATGCTACATTAAAAGAGTAAACAAAATGTTGACTGGTGCCTTCAATTAATTACCAAAAAATATGAACTTGGACGAAAGTCATGCTAAAGATTGATGAAGGTTTAGACTGAAAATATAATTTTATTTTTATATTTTCATTGACAACCAAAAGTATGCGTAGAACAAACATTGTTCAGAAGTAAAATTTGTATCTGTAACATATATTAGTTTTTCACACTTAAATATTTTCAACGATGCCGTGGGACACTTCATTCAGAAAAAAATGTCCATGTCTGAAGTACAACTTGACTATTCAAAACGTCCTATGTGATTTTGTAGGACGAAATTCGATGTAAAATGATGATTTTACCATTCCTATTGACTTTTCACCGTTATTATTCATTGACTACGGTATTTTAACCTATTTTTAAGGTTGCAAAATGTATTTTTTTCAAATCAGTTTAAAAATAATTTGTTGAACTTTAACTTTATTTTTCTGAATATGGCGGAAATGTCACACTGGTTCCTTTGAAAAGTTACCCGAGAATTGAGCTTTGAACCATTTTTTGCTTACACGGCATTTGTAAAATTAAAAAGTATTCAGATTAAAAACGGTCAGATTACCGGTCCACAGTATCTAGAAATACAATCAACTTTCCATTTCTCGATAAAAGTGAGACACACAAAAATGGTCGCCAAAAATTCATTGTAAGTCAATTTTTTTTTAAACTTTTAGGTGGCTGGGGAGTTGACACCCCTCACCTTCCCTCTCCAAAGGGGAAGTTTGGTAAAGAGAGATGATAAAACCGATTTGTACCTTCCTAAAGTTGTCCTAACTCACTTTCAACTCTCTATATGCAATTTTCACACTGCCGTACTCTAAACGGAACTATCAATTCTATTATTTCATCTCCTCATTCCATCGTATAAAAATTACCACTTTAGTCTGTTATTTGAAATTAGCATTTTCAACTATACAAAATAATGGTTAGGTTTCTACTTCATTGCTTTATTGCTTAATCTCCGCTCCATAACCGAATGCTCGCACCTTGCCCTTGACACCACTCAGATTTTTGGCAATGGTGGAGTACACACTTAGATTTTTTTGCCGAGATGGGCACCACCGAGCAGCTCGGCATTTTATTTTACTGGAAATTCAGCAAAAAATATGTTTGTTAGCTGAGATCTCGGCAAAATTCCCGTTTGTTAGCTGAATCTCGGCAAGTTTTTCACTGAGATCCAGCAAAATAAAATGCCGAGTTGCTCGGTGGTGCCCATCTCGGCGAAAAAATCTAAGTGTGTAGACTTCTTTTTGTAATTTTACCCACTGTTTCTTGAAGGCCAGCTCGTTCTCCAACACCTTACACACTTAGATTTTTTGCCGAGATGCGCACCACCGAGCAGCTCCGCAATCTATTTTGCTGGATCTCAGTGAAAAAAATTTCGACATTCTGTTAACAAACCAGAATTTTCAGAGATCTCAGCTAAAAACCATAAATTTTGCTGAGATCTCAGTAAAAATAAATGCCGAGTCTGCTCGGTGGTGCCAATCTCGGCAAAAAAATCTAAGTGTGTAGGTTGATTGACGTCTTTTACGCCAACTGATGGTACCCGCCGTGATCTACGGCAGGCTTATCTGGCTTATCACCCACAGATGACCTACCAAACCAAGAAATTTTTGGCGAATTTGTCCACCTTCTTCTTCCTTACCTCCTCAGGCACGGTCAACCGTGATGTGACAACGTAAAACTCCTGCCCCGGCAACTGCTTTGTATCCGCCTTGATATTAGCATAGAGGTAACTCTAAGACCACTGGGTCCCGAAGAAAATCATTATTATTTTTGGCTCACTCAGTACCAGAACAACGGTCCCAAGCAGTCCCAAGCTATTTCACTCACCCCTGCATGTTCTGCATGAATCCACACACCCCTGATGTTATCTGTCAAACTTTCATAGCGAATCAAAACAAACATAGTGTAGTAATAGAATTTCAACTAGAATAGGGTACGTTAATCGTTTGCTTGGGACCAATAGGCTACTAAAGTGGTGAGCCAATTTAAAATCGTTAGTTTCGTATTGATTGTTGATATAAGTCTCGCCTGTCCATCACGACGCACCTCGGTGCCTTCCGGACCTTTTAGACATGGATGCCAGCACGTTTCAAAGTTTTTTGGACAAACCAGATGGAAACATCCGCCTTCTTCGTCGTATCACTGATCGAAATATTCAGCCGACGCTTGAACAGACTCAACACCTTTCTGATCAGCTGTCTTCGGTTTATTTGCCGCAGCTTTTCCACCGCTGGGTCATCTGGGTCTCCTTGAATGACTTCACCACCCGGGAAATCGTCGTATGATGGATTCCTAGGTGTTTCCCGATCCATCTGTGGGACTCAGTCTAGATTTTTAGGCGGATCTGCTCCGATGCCATCTCGATAACAACTTGACAGATTGTGATGAAATTATGCCAGCGTAAACATTACACTCTTAGCTAGTTTCAGTCAAAATGTCATCAATTTTTACCCACACGCTAAAAAGTTACAAACTAATCAATGAATCTCACTTTTTTCGAGTACAGTTAGCTAGACTTCTCTGAGGTGCAATAATGGGGTGGGATCCTTGGACACCATGACGTACTTCAGCGTGATGACTGCAAGAAATGTATGGAGTTTTTCTTTAGACACAGTGGCGTCATATGGCAAATGTCATTGAAGTCTATTGAAAGGACTATCGAGATAAGCGAACCGCATACGTATCAATATATTGACGTAAAGGGGAGCTATTGACAATAACATTGATGATGTAAATTTAGACATATTGTCAATTTCGATGAATACACATCAATATAGAATGTATTGACAATACGATTATTGTCAATAAAGCAATCGTGTGGGGTCCACTATAGGGAGAGTTCGACAGCCTACTAGTACGATTCTAAAAGCACATCGACTTAAAAAAATTGTTTGTCCCATATCCAAAGCAAAACACCATCGTAGAAAAACCTGGTAAACTTGATTTTTCCATCGACATAGTGTACCAGTTTTGGCACTAGTGCTTCTGTGTTTGGTCCTATTTAATCAAATCTGAAATAGTTTTTGATGGTTTTATTTTTGTAGATATATCAGGCATAACATTTGATAACGGCACAAAAGCATTTGTAAACAAACTGTGTAAGGCCCTTTACACGCGAACCTAAGTACGCCTACGCAAACCAATATCACTTTCGGAAAGGTGATAGTTGCCCCTATCCGATGATGTTATTGGTTAGCGTGGACGTCCCAACAAACATTGGAAGCGGAATAGAAGCTTATTGAGGCAAAAAAATACTTCTTCGACTACAAAATGGCTTATTCAGCCATTAATCAGCTCAAATTGTTTGTTGGGGTACTTTGGTTCGCGTGTAAAGGGCCTTAGAAAGTTTGTTTACAAATTCAATTGTGCCGTTATCAAATGTTATGCCTGATATGATAAAATCTATGTTCTAATCTTGTGTCGAAATAAATTTTGAAAATAACGAAAAATATAAAATTTAAGATAGAGCCAATTAGCGGAGGACCACTAAGGCCAAAAACAAGCACATTTACCCTATGGAGATTAATTTGTATCTAGGGACCATTGACATAGAGAGCGATCAAAATAGATAGTAGGGTAACTGATAATGGTTGGACCTAATTAGGCGGGTTTCACACGACGTCAACATTTATGTCGTATTTTTTTATGAATTTAACATATAATTATAAAAAATGCGTGATTAGGGGAAAGATCTACCTTTCTTGTTTCTAATAATAACATAAAAAGTTAAATATTATAAAAAAATGATTTTATAAAACGTTTTTATTCAGCAAAGAATTATGATGTTGGTTGGACCTAAAATATGATGATGGTTGGACCTATTTTTGCAAATGCTAGTTTAGCCCATATTTGTTCAAAAACTTTGTTTAGAGCTTATTGGTATAATGAAAAAACCCTTTTTATACAGTTTTTATGAATTTGCTATTTAAAAAAATCAATAAATTTGAGTTTAACTTCGTTTTTAAAAGAGTTCACTTTCCACGCATTAGCTATTCATCTTGGCTCATTTTCTCGGAAATCATTTACCCGATTTGGAATTTTTTTTTTAACGTCAAACTATAGGTATTGTGGTCCAATTGAAAGCAATCGAATATTTTTGGAATCGGTCAACTGGTTCCGGAGATATGGCCGGAACAAGTTCCAGGGTATATGGAACAATGACCTAATTTTGACATGGAAGGAATAAAACCTATCATGCGACTCTTCACATTACTTCCAAATTCGATAACAAGATCAATAACAAAATTCAGTGCCTTGGACCACATTGGTCACTTCCGGGCATGTTTTGGGTGCCCCCAGGGAATTTAGGAGCCTAAAATGACAGAATATCAGAACTTAATTCCGGTTTTCTAGTTTTTTTTCTCCTAGGAGTTTTTTTTTTTTGGAAATAAGTTTCAGTTAGCAATTTTTAGTTTGTTAACATTTTATTTCAAGTTAATTCACACACAGAAGGTGTATGAGAAGTGCTTAATGTAAATTCATATTAACAGATGCTTTCGGCGCTTTCGTGGTAGTTCGGAAATCGGTGGTTACCCTTTCAGCCAACCTGACGATGGAATTCCTCCTTTAAATTTACGCCCAACTAGTGACGCAAGGTCTTTAGCATCTTCCAGATCTTTTTGGCCGTCTTGATATTGCCAGAAGCAGCGCACATACAAACTAGCTGGTCCTCCAAATCAACACTCAACACTATTTCCCTTCCATATTTCTTGCCGTGGCTTCCCTTAATTTTTGCGTGAAGTGTCGGTTTCGGAATATTGTAACTTTTCTGTGCCTGATACGCGGTAAGTGATTTATTTCTTACTAAAAGAACAGCCTCTTGAAGATTTTCGACCGTATAACTCTTTTCTTTAACCATTTTTTCAATCGAAGAAACTGATCACTCGGCCAAAACGAAATCGAATTTTAAATCAGCTGCGCATGAAGGATGTAGACAAACCGTAGCGCACCTAGCGCCGTCTTAGGAAACACATAGGTCCAACCATCATCATGCGTAGGTCCAACCATGATCATATTTATCTATTCGAATTTCGTCAATTATTCAAACATTTTAGTGAAACCAATGAATTATTTGGCGTACTAACGTGTTGTTTACACCTTGAAGCATTATTTTACTGCAAGAAAATTAAAATAAATGTAAAAAATATTCCTTTTTTGTATGTTTGAAAGTAAATAAGGCATGATGACGAGCTAATGCGTGGAAATTGAAATGTTTTGAAAACACATTGAAACTCAATTGTTTTAAAGTTTTTTTTTTTTCAATAAAACACCCATGCAAATTGAAGAAAAAGAGTTTTTTATGATAGTAAAGTGATCTTTGAAAATAAAAAATCAGCGAAGATTGACTAAACTAGTGATTGAAAAAATAGGTCCAACAATCATCAGTTTTTGGATAGGTCCAACCAGAATCAATAACCCTATATCGAGATATAGAGAATTGGATGTACATATGAGAATCTGATGGGCCTGCTCAAGCCATTGAGATAGGGAGGAATATCGAGATATAGAACATCGAGAAATGGAGAGCTGACTGTATTTGGCTATACCTCAAGACGTTGACTACGTACAACGTAACTGTCTTCGGATTAGTTGATCAGATGAGCAAGTCTCTCTCTAGATGCTGTACAAATTAGTTCAAAACATTCTGTCTGGCCCTCTAGGAAGTTGCTGTCTTGAAGTGCTGGTCAAGTTTTTCATGTAACCAATGCCCTCTGGATGGTAGGCAGATGAGATCAGAATTTTCTCACTGCGTGGCGCTAGTATGCAAGTGAAATTCCTGTATAAGCTATACCTCAAGATCCTGACCACATAATAAGTTGCTGTCTTTGGAAAAGTTGTTCAGATGAGCAAGTCCTTCAGGATGGTGCTGGATCATTCGGTCGAAGTACGTTAGGCCGAATGGGGGCCTAGTATCAGAGAGGAGCGGACTCAAAACAAACTGCCTTGGCAACCTATGCCTGGGTGGTTTCTAACAACACTACCAATGCAATTAAGATAGGCGCTGCTCGGTTGACAGTTAATTTGGCACAAAACCAGCCACTCCCCACTGCTTTCTTATACTACCCTAGTAGCACGCTTGTCACATATCGGTTGTAGAAACTTCTTTACGACTTATTTCAGTCATACAACAAGTTGTTGCAACTTTTCTCAATGGAAGTGTGCTACTCGGGTAGACCATCTCTTGTTTCGCTCAACTCGGCATTGCTCAAGGATCATGATTTCCAGACATCTATACCGTCAGTCATTGACAACTTTCGATTGTACCGTTTTGCTCTTACCGGCGACACCAAGAAAATTTCCCATAGGTTCTTCAGATTCCTTACTCCTTACTCCCTAGACAGTTCATGTCAAAATCTGGTGAGCTCATGCTCACCGAGCTGCAGCAGCATCCATTATCCATCGCTATTACGTGAATTGTGGAAAATTCACACTCAAGGAGGATTTGAAATACATAACTTCTTTCTGGTACAACGATCCAGAGTTTACAACTGAAGTGGGCTTAGTACAGTGACATTTTCCAAAATAATTCTGACAATATCGCGTAATATTAATTACAATATATTGAGAAATTTCAACTTGCTTTGAACATTGAACTGCATAGATCTTAAGAACTGTATCGAAAATAAGTTGTATGCAATTTGTTTCCTTCCAAATATGTAAAACAATACATCATATCATCGATTATTTATATCATGGCCTTGTTTAAAAGGTAACAAACAAATTAATATTTTTTAAGGTACTGGTATCATCTAAGATACAGATCATCGGATGAGACTTCAGACAGTGATTTTTGTTTGTTTTTATTGCATCGCATATTTTTTGCTATTTTAAAGTTTTATTAGTCTAATAACCTTTTAAAGACACTCTTTACAATTGACATTCAGCATCAGCAATCGGAACTCAATAGGTAATAGTTGCGAAAAAGTTTAATTGGGTCGTTCTCGGTGAAAATCTATTTTTTTTTATTTTTCGATTTTTTCTGCAGGAATTACGAACACAAATAATGTCAAATTAGGCCAAAACAATTTTAAGAAAATCGTTTTCTTCACAAACTTTTCCATGAAGCTAACTAAGACTACTAAGATCACGAAGGAGCTTATAAAAATTGTGCGATGGGTACAAAAAGGATGAAAACGTTTCAAAATCTATGATCATAAAAGAACATAAAATAATACTTTTTTATTTGTTTTCGTAAACTTAACTCCTTAAGAAGTACATGACATAAATAATTAAAGATTCTTTTTCGAATAAAAATATGATTTATGGATTTCGAACGAAAAATTTGTCTACAACTTGTTTTTGATAGCCCTTAGTTAAAAAGCCTTTTACAGTAAGATTGCTTATCCAAATTAGAAAATGCTGAAAGGACGAGATCCCCCAAATCCAGGCTGCAACGACGGTACAATCAAAGTGCTTTCGTATAAAAGAATAGTTAAATTTTGTGATACGGAAAATTAATATTTCACAATAGATATAAATCTCTTCATCTCGCTATCTCGTGCCCATGTACTAAACAACCAAGTTGTAACACGCATTGAGATTAAAATAAATCACATGTACTGCCATGGATTCCGCAAATACCGTATATTGGAATCAGAAGCTTGTGGTACTTCAATCTGCTATACCACTTGATTGCCGCAAAAGTGTATTCTAGTTATGCTGTTAGGATTTTTGCCGCACGACCATCAAGCGTTGATCCGCGGTGATGGTTTGGCCATATCAGTGGGAATTATTGCTCCGAACATCCGAGCCTGAACGACCAATAAATCTGCCACCAAATCTGTGAGTCAACCACCACACGTGGAAACTTATGCCTTTACAACTAATCAAAGCCTCGCTAATTTATCTCTCTCGTCTGTCTCGTTTACAGCTGAATAACTACAGCCGCGGGATTAATTACTACGGTGGTATTGAAAAATATGATCCGACCGTTAGTACGCCTGGCACGTGGTCCGGCTCGAGCAGCACGCGCATTAACAAGTAATTAATTTGCTACCTTTTCCTCTCTTGTTACTAGAATGGGCTGATTTATTGTGAACAATGCACCAACCGAACCGATTCCACACTCACATCTGCACCAAAAGTGACTTTTTACCACAGAGCCCTTTTTACTCGTGTATATTTCAGCACAGGATAATTTCACTTGTAATTGTGGTAATTTATGGGGCTGCATTTAAACAGATTTTTAATCAGAAGTTATTTGTTCGATATGTTTTCTCTTTCACCAACTCACCGACAACCCTCGACGCGAACGGTGCAAAAACATCCCCCAAATCCCAAAGCTCGCACTCAGAACGTTCGAAATCCTGCCAGCTGCGTAGTGATGCTGAGTCCCTGATCAACGCGGTGGCCACATCCGTCTGGGATTGCTGGAGCAACACCAACAACGCGTTGAACAACCGGTCATCGGAAATGCTGGAAGCGAAGAGCAAAATGCAACTGCACTTGCATAAGGTAGGTGGCATAATTATATAACTGAATAAGGCTGAATAAATAGGTAGGCACTGCGCTACACAAACGAGTAGAAACAAGAGAAAATCAGAAGCGAAAACGTAGGGGAAATATTTTACATTGGTTTTATAAAGTGCTCAATAGAGCTATCCAAGAAAAGTCCTATTGTAAAAAGTCCTGTCCTAGAAAATTCTTATCCTAGAAAAGTCCAATCCTAGAAACACATCGAATAATTTAATTTCGTTAGAAAAATAATATCCAGCTGAGCTGCCGTCATCCTTTTTTGACAAAAATCGTTTATCGCTGTAAATGTTTTTGGTATTATCAATTGACAAATCAAAGTTGACACTCGTGGAGAATAGAAGAACTAGGGTATACGTCCCTAACCTCGGTCTAATATGCAGCCATCGATTACGTTTTTAATCATAACTCATCAATGAATTTACCTGCAAACGATATTCTACTGCTAAATGGTATGCTTAGATATGCTTATCATGTCGTTTGCTATCAGAAACCACGAAAAGTTGAAAAACTTACTTTTTTTAAGACAATAACTCACGAGGGAAATGTATGTAATATGGGTCTATTGTCCCCAAATTGGGTCTATTTATGGATGCAACTTCGTCCTATCTTGTTTGATCCTCAAAAAAACGCTCTTGGTAACGTTTTCTGATGTATTTTTTTTTATCACTATCACTGTTAACTTAATGCTCTTCATTCCTCAAAACATTTCTTAGAGAAAATTTTACGAAAACTACATTAAATCACTCAATTTAAAAATTAAAAATTAAAAATTTCGCTTATCGTCTTTTGACCGCAGAATATCTAAATCAGAACATTGTGATGTTCATTATACAGGTTTGGCAGAAAAAATCTCCCTTCCTGTTCGTTCCTTATCATCCAAATGCAAAACAACATTGTTGACGTTACTCTTATTGCTATATGCTGTCAAATGAATTTCATGGGCCATAGTTAGGAACATAGAAAAGAAATGTGTCCCTAAAGTTGGGTCCATGTTTTACTTGTGAAAACGTTGTTAAACAATTAAAATAAACATAAAATATTCAAACAGCAACTGTAAGTTTTACGTCTAGTGTGTATTATCAGGTAATTCCAATCAATAAATGCCATAATCAGGCCATTTGATGATCGTCAGTCAACCTTCCCATCTTAACCTTATAAGTCATGGCGGCTAAAAACTCCGAACATTGTGATATTCTCAACCAGTTTTATTACTTACGAGAGCTGAAAATGTATTGAAATGTTGTGATATAAATTGATTTGTGTGTGGTACACATTTATCAACCATCAGTGATCAATATTTTCCTTATTTTTTGTGTAATATTCCTTAATTAATTATTTATTTGCGTGATAGGCCGAATGAAAGGACTAGACCCACATTACATACCGTAACCCTATTAGTGTGATGATGGTTTAAAATTTTACACGGTGAAGTATACGATTTCAATCATAAAATGCTTTTATTTTGCAAATGGAGCATTTTATTTAAATATGGTTAATGCTACGTTAGTAGAAAACTTAAGGACTACATATAGACATATAATATAGAAAAAATAACTTCTTTCTTGATTTTTATCAATTTTTATCGTTAAGCAGCCTAATATACCAAAAAGGGCGATTAACGGGCTTGTTGGTTACTTGGGCGGTACTCTATTTTACTGAGTTTTAGTCATTCACCGTAAAGCTGTTATTTTACGGAAAATTCAGTACTTGCTATTACCGAAGACAACAAATCAAGAAGACTGGCAACTCTTCCATTTTCTCCTACGAACGCTATGAGACAGGTGCAATCGCGTCATCTACCGCTCAAAGGTAAATGCTTCGAACGAATTTTAAAGCAAAGATTACATCCTCAGATGTGTATTTGCTCATTTTTCTATGCGTTAAGCATATATATTGAATAAATGCTGTATTACAGTGTACAATGCTGAATAAAACGAGTTGTCGAATTATGTGCTGAAAAAAGCTCATTGAGATTGCTCTGATCTGATTAATGTTATTATTAAAAGCTTTATAAATATTGGCTGTCTTCCCAATTCAACGCCAGAAGTTTGATCTAATAACAAACTCAATAAGTGTAATTTGCACATACATTGATACTTCAATTCGAGTGTTTTAAATTGATTTAATAACATGCTTCATTAGACGTCTAATAAATGTTTTCTAGCTTCATTGTTAGATTTCATTGCATTGCTTTACAATATTGTTGAATAAAGGTGAATACAGTCAACATATTAGCTCTTATACCACTATGCGTCCATGTTTTAATCACATGCTTTGTAAATGCTTTATAAACGACGTATTAAACGCTGTCCAGACTGGAGAGTTAAAACATGTTATAACGGTTGTCAACTAATTGCAACACAGAAACCACCATCAAGATAGCGCTATAACATGTTATAACTCTGTAGTCTGAACGTACTATTAGATTCATGATTCCACAACACTGGTTCAGCCTAACAACAAGACGAAATCAGTAGAGTAGTGGTTACCGTTTCCGCTTTCCAAGTAGAAGATGGTGAGTTCAATCACAAGCTCTCTACCCTTTTTTGATTTGTGTTTTACGTCTAATTTATTTAAATATATTATAGTAATCATCGATCACATGACTCATGACAATGAATGCATTGATCTAGTTTGAAAAATAACCGAGCATCCTTTCCTTGGAATTCGAGAGGTGAAGAGGTAACATTGGTCTCTTGTAAAACGACGATGAATGAACTAATCATTCCCACAGAGCCTCGAAGAAGCTAAAGGTGCGATAGGCCTTTTTAATAGAAATTAAACGATCGATGCAACCTCTGGTGGTGAATAGGAGAACTTCAAAAAGAGTGTTGTGAGCATACATTTTTGACTTGAGACATAAGAAGCGGAACACTTTTTTACTTTTCCTGATAAATTAATTCATCTGAGATGCTGCAAAACTTAATCTACAGTTGAAAAATTTAATTCTGTAACGTTTTTGAAAAGATCCTGCTGGTGTTCAGGAACATTTTTGTTGAGAAAAATGGAAAATTAGAAAAGTGCCTTAGTGGTTATGATCTTCCGGATTTCTTGTGTGTGAATAGTTAAGGTGCAAATCAGTTCAGATTTGTGGAAAATCTTACAATAAGACAATTACCGATGGAAATTGGCAAGATTTTGAATTAAAAATGCTGTTATTTGCGTTGGGGAAAATACTTATTCTGATGTAAACAAACGATTTGGTTGACGTTTCTTCTCGACCTCGCGTGGCGCACTCTACGTTGGTGGTGCATTAAAAAGGCGTATCGGGAGTGCTGATAGGTATTTACTTTCAAACAAATTTTTATTGATTATTGAGCTGCCCATATGATAAATTCTAGGATAGCTCAGATGGCAAGGCAAGCGGCTGGTGATCGGAAGATACATGGTTCGAATCCCATGCAACGACATGTATATGTATGTTAAAAATTAATTAGGCCTATTCTGCGCGGCGTATGAGGTGAAGTGAAGTTGACAATTGGGTTCTTTAAGGGTATTGAGGTAAATGCATATTCGTAATCTTCATTAAAAATGGAACCCAAACCCAAAATTTCATCAATTTTGGCACACTGGAACTATTTTAAATAAGTACGATTACATTTGCAAAAATCACCTTATTAGCGCCCCTCGGTGTCACTTTGTATGGGAGCGAGCTGTCAGTTTGTCAGTTTAGTGTCAAACAGTGAAGTTATTATTTTGCTTTAAATCTTGATTTAAAAATCGAGATGAAAGTGTGTGGGTTCGAAAAAAAATATCAATGTGCTCAGAAAACGAAGCTCTTTCAGATGATAGGGGAATTTACGTATTCTCGGCAACCTAAGCAGCGACCTTCTTTCTATAGCCTTTTTATCTAAGGAACGCACACATATGCAGTATTGGTTTGTTTACAATATTTTGCAGCCAGCTGCTCTAACAATTTCAGTCGAAAGAATTGTCAAAAACTGTTTTGAAACGCTTTTACAAAGCTCCAATCTTCTCTAGTGAGAGCGAGTATTGTCGGCAACCAATTTTTCTGCGGCAACCGTTCCATTTGAACTGCATGTAAATCTGCTGTTCTATTATCGGCAACTCGAAATCAGCTACAATTTGTAGTGCGTGTGTTTCATTTCAAGAAAACCCTGCTAGATTGCTTTTTCTCAGTGGTAAAAATATAGTCAAATTGAAGCTGAAAGCATAAAGAATCGTTTGCATGCATTCAGCATGTTTTCGTAAGAAAATCCAGTGAAAATAGTGTTTCAATTTGGGTTGCCGAAAATAGTCTGGCATGCCGAAGCCGTCATTTCCCCTATATAAAAACCGATATATTTTTCAAAATTAAAGAACCCATTTCAGGCAATAACATTTGATAACGGCACAAAAGCATTTGTAAACAAACTTTCTAAAGCGCTTTACACGCGATCCAAAGTACACCCCCGCAAACCAACAATATCATCGGATAGGGGCCTTTCCGAAAGTGGTATTGGTTTGCGTGGGCGTACTTTGGTTTGCGTGTAAAGGGCCTTAGAAAGTTTGTTTACAAATGCTTTTGTGCCGTTATCAAATCAGTGCTAACATTTGAAAACGGCGCAAAAGCCATTTGTAAACAAATGGTTTGTGGGCCCTTTACTCGCTACCCGAAGAACGCCCACGCAAACCAACAGCATCGTCAGGAAGGGGAAAATTTCCCCTACCCGATGTTGCTGTTGTGTCGCGTGGGTGTACTTCAAGTAGTGAGTAAAGGGCCCACAAACCATTTGTTTACAAATGGCTTTTGTGCCGTTTTCAAATGTTAGCACTGAAATGATATGCCTGAATTGTCACCTCGGGTAAGGTGACTCTCCATTTGATTTGCATGCAGACTCACCTCACCCGAGAGATAGATAGATAGAGCTGGAATTGGGGCGTAACAGCTTTTGTAAACAATGACTTCTCTCGATGGTTTCTAGAAAGTCGAGGCTCGTCCACGCGAATCAACATCACCATCGGAAAGGAGAAAACTT